CAATATATGCGTAAATTAATTTGATAAATTATCGTTCTCTTCCCGAAGTATCAATGGAAGCAGTATAACTAAGCTAAGTGTTTGCTCGAGAAAAGTGATATTATCGTGATTTCTTTTGCGAGAAAATGACTGAAAAATTTCGTACAATCCAGGACCAACTGGGGGCCTCAGGGCGGCCCCTAGACCCCCGGCCGTTTTCTGCGTACACTTCATTTCCATGCTGGCTACGCGCCTGAACGCAGTACAGTTAAGGTGCGCAGTGGAAATATCGACTAAATTTTGTATTTAAAAATGTATTCGCAATCAGGATGGCGATTATTTTAGTACATTATTTATATCGGATAATTGTAACTATGATTAATAACTACATATCAAGGACGATTATATTTTATATTAATACTAGTCACGTGATGCGGTAGTCACGCGATTTTAGCACATTGACTTGAAGTATTGATGTTACATATAAATATCACTAGTGCAAAGGCATAAACAAGTTAAATTTTAAAATTTAATATATAAATATTTTCAACACGCATTGTAGTTTCTAAAAAGTGCTGCGATCCTGTGTAAATTCTGCAATTTTATTGTTTAAATTATACTTGTTTGACAGTATGCTATATTTTTTGCTGGTCAGAGGCATGAAATATTGATATAATTAAATTGTTTTTACGATTTCAGTAGGATCGCAGCACTTTTCAGATACCTTTATAGTTCTATTGTTAAAATGTAAAAGCTTACTTTGATCCATATAGTGTATGCCCTTGCACTAGATCGATTTATAAAGACCCCCACATAACCCTCCAATGTACTTGAATACAAATATACGGCGGTATCAATTAAATACGTAATGTACAGAAAAAATATTAATAAAATAGTAAAGAAGATATTAAATTCAAGATATTGGACCATAGATTATCTGTAAAAAATATTTTATTTAAATATAGAATACATGTTTTGTTCAGAAAATATTTCTTGATCTGTCTCTCACTGCATACAAACTGCGTCACGTTGTAAGAAATGACGTCATATTGACAAGTCATAGTTCCGACACGTCAATCAAACTTATTTTATTAGCCAATCAGATTGTTCCGTATAATTAGTCAGAGAAGCGCTTCGATCGGCCGCCATATTGTCCCACAAACAAACCTTTGACAAGTTGTGGGAAGTCTAAGTTTTTGTTAAAAAAAAACAATGGTTTGCGGTGTGCGTGGGGAACGTGTAATGTTGACGAGAGATATCCTGAGAGGTTACAGAACGGTGTTAAGCTTATTTTGTTCCCCAAACCGAAAACAAATCTCCAGAAATGTCTTCGGTGGATCAAAGCTTGCGGATGTCCACACGAACAGTTGAACATTCAGAGAATAAACAAACACAAAGCTGTTTGTTCAAAGGTACATCTGGTTATAATTTAATGTTTATGACTGTTATGCACACTGAGTCTTAAAATATTAGCTGTATACACGGCAATTTTTGGCCGAGAACTTCAGGAATATACCATACCTGCATACCGTACAAATTCGGAATGCATCGATTTTACACATCTTTGTAAAGTTTGGCTATGTTATTCATATTGCAAGAGATGGTAATTGATATGTATGTGTGTTCCGGTGTTGCTATTATTTATGTAATAGTCTTTAAAACATCCAATGGTTTGTCATTGCGGTCAATGTTACTGAATTATTTACAGCATTTTGTGGGAGGTAATGGACCAACCCTTGAATTTCCTGACCCATTACAAGCTGATGGATCAGCTGTTAGACCGACCAGGCCACTTCCCAAGCGGACTAGCACATTCACTGAGAGTAACCCAGTGTCAAAGAAAAAAAGGATTCTAAGGTAAAAACCCACAAATTGACAATTTTTAGTTTTCAGAGATAATGACCAGCAATCGACTAATTATCCCCTTCACGGTAACTGCGGTAGTACACTTTTGGGCAAAATTATAACGTTTGGTGAAGTTTTTGTTGACGGATAATTAAATGAAGTATTTTAAATAATTACTTTTATGTCATATTTCACCAAACTATATCATTTTGCCCCGCAAAAGAACAGTACCGCAGTTACTGGGAAAGGGTCTATTCCATTCATTACATCGATCACAACTTATCCATCAAAGAGTGAAAAAAACATACCATCAGAGATAGTTGCTGCAAAAACACCAGATACCTTTAGGTCTCGGTGATCACATGTAGTGTGATGTACCATAATTTATGATTATTATTATAATCTTTTAAATTTTTAATTTTGATAACTTCATGCACACTTTATTTGCCATTATAACCAGCTAGTTAATTGTGGGCATTGCATGACAGACGCAAAATCTTTTTCTTTCTTACTAATTTTTTTAATTTTTTATAGTACAACAGATATAGAAGAACATGGAGAAAATTTGAACTCAACAACAGAAACTGAAACGTCAATCAACATCAACAGTGGTAACCATATATCTATACAAACAGAAGAACCTTGTAAGCATTCAAATATTTCCTAGTTGCTTCACTTAATTTTGGACTGTATGTGTAGCAAGAAACGGCTTTGCATAGGTTTTGAAAAAAAACACAATTTTTCCAGCATAGTGGTCATAAACGGAAGGTCGGGCTGTATTCTCTCCACAAAGATATCTTTCTGTGTGAAAACAACAAAATCACAAAATGCACAACCTGTGATCATGAGTTGGCCCTAAATTTGAGCATAATGTGCATGATTTTTTTTCAATGTGATTTCATTGTTTTTACACAAAAAGAAATCTCGCACATTCTCGCATGCTTCCGCAATTGTCATATTCCTAGCAGAATATGGACATTTTATTTCAATAAGACTGCAGTGACCATTGTCGCACACCTTACCATCAGGAGTTGCCCCTAAAAAGGCAAACTCCTTGTTAATAACTAGCCCACAGGTGTGGATATGCCTAGCTGGAAAGTCTTTTAAGTATCTAGACTTTGCATCCTTTTCGTGGATTTTACCATATTCTAAAGAAGGAGCGGAAATCTTTTTAATGTTAAATATGCTTCCAAGAAATTTGTCATTAGGGGTCGACTTTCTTTGCAAAATTTTTCCAAAATTAGATGCTGTCAAACGATTCTTTCTTTCATTGTACCATTGTGCTGAATCACTTTGTTCTCGTGTATACAATTCAATTTTAATGGGATCACACTCTTTGTACTTCAAATTCAAATCCATATACTCTTGTGGCAATGGTACAGGGGCTGGGTGGAATACATCAGTATTGCCACAACCATCTGATATGGGTGGCTCAACTTCCTTAATGTTATTTGTCTGAAAAAAAACTGGACTTTGTATAAAACTGAAATAAGTGTAAGTAAGTATCAGATTGAAATCAGTCTTTCAATTTTTTTAGGGATTTCTCCAATTGAGATGTTTGCAATGGCAACTGAGCTACATGTGTTAAGAGAAAAAGAGAAGCAGCACGAAGCTACAATCTGCACCCTGAAAGAGGAAATAAAGGAACTTGAAGACAAACTATCATCTGAGGATCAGAAGCCATCGTTTGGAGTCGATGAAGTGATAAGAAGAGAGGGAAAATTGAAAAATTTGTTCAAATATTACACTGGCATTGTATATATAAGATTTGCTGGTCTATTGGCATTTTTAGTCTCAGATGGATCCTCAGTAAATTATGAAAAAGGTCGAAAAGACATTAAAAAGTTGTCACTGCAAGATGGACTCTTTTTAACTTTATGTAGACTGAGGCATAACTTTGGTTTGAAAGATTTGTCAGTTAGGTTCAAACTATCACTGCAGTCATCTGGAATTGTATTTAATACTTGGATTTCATTGATGTATTTTAAGTTGGGTCAACTTTGTATTTGGCCTCATCGTGATGTAATTATTAATAACATGCCTAAAGATTTTAAAAATGATTACCCTACTACTTTGGTAGTTATTGATGGTACTGAATTTAGAACACAAGCACCATGTGCACTTGGTTTGCAAAGTCAGCTTTACAGTGATTATAAGTCTAGTACTACTTTGAAAGCTTTAATTGGTTGTGACCCAAATGGTTCAGTGATTTTTGCATCGGAATTGTTTACAGGATGTATATCAGATAAACAAATTTGTGAACAGTCGGGATTTTACAATGTTCTTGAATCACTAAAATTAAAAGGTTATGTAAAAGATGGTGATGCTATAATGGCTGATAAAGGGTTTACTGTTAGAGGGGAATTAAGTAATTTAAATTTGGTATTGAATATTCCACCAATGGCTTCTTCAACATGCCAGATGTCAGTTTCAGACACTGTGCTTACTGAGAAGATTGCAAAGCATCGTGTGCACATTGAAAGACTTATCGCAAAGGTTAAAACTTACAAAATGCTTTCTCTTCGCATTCCTACATCATTATTTAAAAACATTAACAAAATTTGGTCTGTATGTTGTCACTTGACTTTATTCCATGATGTGTTTGTCAAAGACAGTGAAAATTGATGTAAAAATAACATTATTTGTTTAAATTGTTAAAGGAAAAAATCGAAGTGTGACCATCTTTCTGTAGAAATGTTGGAGAAACTGAATGCTTCATAATTATGTATAAAAAGCAGTTTTTAGTCAATGATATAATTATGTATACTATTAACATGATATTGATAGTCTTGTACAGGTGATGCCCCAATTCTATAATCTGTGTAATCTTTCAATACATATGTTTATGTAATAATTTTTTGTACCTGATATGACAATATTGAGCCTATCTGCACATCACCAAGGGGTGTGTTTACAAGTGGATGATCTGCTGATATCGTATATTCTAGAGGGGTTCCCTTCAACGAACTCAGCTGCATTATGTCACTTGCGGACACTTTGGGAAGTCTATTATTAAATATAATAAATGAATCAAGATTTGTTTTTATTTATCTTATAATGAAAACTTATCATTCAACTTTTAAAATATGTAAATATATACTGTTTTAAAATATCTTGAATTGCATCTACATGTAAACAAGTGTAAAATGCAATGGCCAAGAAAAGAAAAAAATTATCTAGGATTTCACATACTCTTGATCTAAGTCAATCTGACATGTGACAGGTTTTCGTTTTCGGGATTCTGTGGGCCTTGCCACCACTAAATGGTTGATTGGAATAGGCTTAATTTTAGAACCCCTGGGCACATGCCACTGCTGTGGTATACTTGTACAGCTTTGCTGTTCGGGTACATTGGAAAAGTTATGAAGTTTGAATCCCTGCAAACTTTTTATAAGGCCAACTATATGAGAGCAGTGACCATTTAAGCTGGAAGAAAGTATATCAGAAATGCATGAATAATTGTCAGTGTCTATAAAAAAAATTATGCATGATTTGTCTAGAAAAAAATGCTACAATTGAAAATTCTGGATTAGGCAACTGTTTCTGTTTAAAAGCATGGCCTTATCACAACAAATTCGGTAATATATATGCTATAAATTGCACACTCGAATCAGGAAATAAATCAAGGAATGAGACAATAAATTGTTTAATGATTATGTTGTTTTACATTTAATGAATTTTTCAATCATAATGCATACACATGCCGCACAAGATTACGTCACTACAGTAATGTTTACATTTTTTTTTCAATACACAACCGCCGTTTCATTTGCATTATTGTCTTGTGAAATGCGTATAGAAAGTGGGTGTTATTAGTAATTTTTATTAAACACATACCCAACTTTACAGGAACAATGTGACTCATTTATGGAATCATTTTTAATTTCCAAATTAAGACGATGTGGGGGTTGATTTTTCCGCATCGATCTCCAGCATCATGCTGTAGCTTGCACGGACTCATCCGAGTCAAAAATCTTAATATCGTGAATGTAACCTTGCGTAAAGTAATTTAAACCCTTTTGCAATACTTTGTCCGACAATTTTTAGCTATTTGGCAAATATTTTACGCAAAAATCGTCTGAAATAGACCTAAGACTGTCAGTCGCGACATCCGCTGATGTACTCAGCATCGCCATAATGTGGGACTTAGTAACTGTAACTAAGGTGGGCGGGGCATAGGGAGACTATTCGGAACTATGAAGTATATTGCGATCAGTGACTTGTTTATAACTTGTTATGTGGGATTTAACTAACGACAAAACAAAACGCTGAAGTAAGTTTTTATGTAGTATGATGACTTCTTACAGGTTAAATTAGCACATAAACTCATTTTGTGGTATTTTAAAGAAATGTTGTATGAGGTATATTGTGTATGATGTCATAGTCAAGTTTTCCCGTACAAATTAGGCTCCGCCTCCTTTTTGTAACCTAAACTGTGCTGCGAAGACAAGCAGTACTGAATATGGTAGTACATGTACTAAACCAATCATCTGCAAAAAACTATTCAGTGCTTGTGTTTTTTTTTTTTTCTTTTTTTTGAGAAAAAAAAAAACAAAGCAAAAAAAAAAATCCAAAAATTCATTAAATTTTCTGTCGAAAAAACCTTAAACACTATAAGTGTGTTTTTATCATCATAACAGTCTCTTTTATCTCTGTACCATCCCTCACTGTGGGAGACCACGGATCGATCCAGTGTCCCGGGTACCAGGGGCCGTTCAGGAAGGCGTTATGGCAGAAGTTAAACCACCAGCCTCCTCCCCAGCCAGCACAGTTACCACTAGCTCTGTCGTTATCCCTGTCTAGGGTGGTGAAGTACATCCCAGACAGATCTTTAGTAGAATCCCCTGTGTCTAACATTCCGTCACCTGTAGAAGTAAAGAAAATGAAAATTAAGAAAATCAAGGTATATGACCCTATAAATGTCGTCATTTCCAGATAAACTGACTTTTTATAAAATATTATTGTGTATTCTACAGTTAAATCATGATCTTTAGATTGGTAATTTAATTGGTGTTTTATCCAATGTCATCTTTATAGCTGGATAACATTGCCACCTACCCGATTTAATTTCACTTGATACAGATACACTACATTTTTGTCCATTGAGTTTTAACTAAACTAAAATACTGGATAAAATACTATCTCTCGAAATTTATATTAAAATCTAGATAAAAATAACTTGCGTAAAGTTTTTACTTATCCATAGATACCATAACCATCTTTCTCTTTATAATAACTATTTACGGATAAAATACGTACATTATTTAAAAGTTCAGGTTGGAAAGGGAACTACTTATAAACATTTTACGAATTGTAAAGTAATATTGAAATGTAATTAATTCCCAGATATTATATCCGTGACATAATTCAACTTTTCTATCACTCAAAACTTTTCTACTGCTTAAGTTACTGATATTTCGTTAAAAATTTACAAATTTACAAAACATCCACAAAGATCCAACATTCATCCAAACGATTAAACAGAAGACCAATCTAATGTCCCTTTCGTTGGTCCAGAAGGTAAAGTTTGTATTTATCTTCCTCGTTATTTACAGAGAACGTCCCGTATTGTTGATGAAGTGTGTTCCAGTCGTCAAAGTAATGTACACGTGTACACGTAGAAAGATGCTCTGTTGTTTTTTTTTTTTTTTTTTTTTTTTGGTGGGGGGAGGTTAATTGATGAATTATATCATTTCCTATAATAGAGTAGTGAATGGCATGGCGTGATCAACTTTCCTGAAAAAGATCTATTCAAAAGAAGGATTCCTGACTGGAATCTGACTAAATAAAATTTTTAAAGTATATCTGCTGATTTTTTATATGTGTTTTGGTGTTAAGGGTTCTTAAGATCATGAATATCTCTTTTTCTCCGAAACCACTGAACCACATTCAGTCAAAATTGCAACGAAGTATCCTTGGTTAACTGGATTTCAAGTTTGAGCAAATCAATGGTCATGCCCTTTTTCAAGTGAGATAATGAAGAAATACAAATATTTAATAATTGAAAAAGTATAGAAATTTGGTGACATGTTTAAAAAATCTTTTAAAAAACTACTGGGTCGGGAAAGTTAAAATTAATGTGGAATCATATTCGGGAAGTGTAAATTCAAGTTTGCTCAAATCATGACCCCCAGGTTTTGGGTTGGGCCACAATGGACGATAAAATTTTCACCCAAAGAATATTTAAGAAATCTTATTTTTTTCAGAAGAACAACAAAGTTATAATTGGTTCTGTTGATAAGAAAGAATCCATAGGTACAGTAGATTCAAATTTATTCAAAGCATCACTCCTGGGTGTATGTTGGGGCTACAATGGATAATTGAAATTTACATAGGAATATATGGAGAAAACCGTTTTAAAAAGTCTCAACAATAACACATGAACAGCCATGATTGGTCATATTTTTTGGAAGAATCCTTTGGTTATGTAGAATCAAGTTTGAACAAATGACCCCCCAGGGTTTGGCGCGGCCACAATGGGCGATTAAAGTTTTATTTAGGAATATTTTGGAACAATCTTTAAAGATGTTCTTTCTCAAGAACAACAGAGCCAAGACTGGGAATATTTATATGGTAGCATCTTTAGGTAATGAAGATTCAAATTTCTTCAATACATGACCCCTTGTGGTACATGTAGGCTAAGTCATAAATGAAAGTTCAAACTTATAAGCAAAAAATCCACAGTATCTCAAGGGATATGTAAATATTCTTAGTTCAGATTCAAAGTAATCGAAATCATAACCTAGCTTCCACCTCCATTTACGATTAGGTTGCTAACATTAATTTTTATACATTTAACAGGTTGAGCACAGTATCTTTTTCGGGGAAGTATTACCATAAAAGGGAATTATCAGTGATCAATAACATTTCTTATTTGCATAATACAAAGCATTTTAGGTCACCTGAGTAAACTCAGGTGACCTATTGCTATCTGTTTTCGTCCGTCGTCGTGCGTCGTGTGTCGTCCGTCGTCAGTCGTGCGTTAACATTTGAACATTTTCAGCTTCTTCTCTGCAACCACTGAACCAATTTCAACCAAATTTGGCACAAAGCATCTATGGGTAAAGGGGAACAGAAATTGTGAATTTCATGATCCCTGCCCCCCTGGGGCCTGAGGGATGGGGCCAAAACCACTAAAATTAATGCAATCTTTAAAAACCTTCTTCTTTACTCCTGGACATCAAGCAGTCAAACTGTTTGCATGATTGTAATTAGCAATGAGTCCTCTACTAAAATTGTGAAATTTATGGCCCTGGGGTCAGGGGTTCTAGTGCTAGGGCGGGGCTAAATAAGTAGGTAGTGAAAATGCATTATTTCTTTGAAAATCTTCTTCTCTGCTCCTGGGTATTAAATAAACCAACTAAATACATAGTTATGATAAGCAAGAGTGCCTCTACCAAAATTGTGAATTTTATGGCCCCAGGGTCAGGGGTTCTGGTGTTAGGTCGGGGCTCTATTGATTATATAGTGAAAATACAGGAATTTTTTGAAGATCTTCTTCTCTGCTCCTGGGTATTAAATAAACTAACTAAGTACAAAGTTATGATGAGCAAGAATGCCTCTACCAAAATTGTGAATTTTATGGCCCCAGGGTCAGGGGTTCTTGTTTTAGGGCAGGGCTCTAATGATTATATAGTGCAATGCATGAATTCTTTGAACATCTTATCCTTTGCTCCTGGTTAACATACTAATGATCTAATTATATATTTAAGGCCAGGATTTATTTTATTTTCAGTTTTACAAACCCTCCACTCAAGGTTTTGAATTTTCAGAAAAAAATAAAACTTTTTTTTTTCGATGTCAAATTTGAGTCGGGATCGAGATTTCAAATTTACGAACTTGCACTTCCGGTTTTAAGATGAAACGGCGCGTAAATAAAGCTAGATCTGAGAAGAAAGCTTGGTTTACTGTAAAATTCATCGATAAGAGTGCCATTCAAAACATTTCACCCGTTCAAAGGACAAATAAAATGCGGACGACTTTGTTGCACAATAACATGCTGGTGAGATAATTATGTATTCGTTTCAAAGTATCTGTCTGTAAATTATTTTCCTCCCCCAGGTTTTAAACTGCCCATGGTAGCTATTGCATATTGCCAGCGACATTGTTTAGGTCTCTGTTATAGCTTACAGTCTAAGCATCATTCTTCAGAAAAGGGTTGCTTATGCATCAGATGTAATGAATAAAACTATGGGAGAAGTTTAGTCCATTTGAGGAAGAAATAAACAATAACCCGAAGAAATAAAAAAAAATTCAACTATTAAAAGGCAAGAATATACAAATATATACAGGCATGTAGTATCATTTGTATCAGCCAGAAAAATTATTTTACACTTAATTGAAAAAATGTTCACCCTACTCCCCAATACTCCCTCTCTGATTTATGATAGGAATTATAATTTTAGGCATTAAGTAAATTTTAGAACAATGTCTACACATTCACCTAACATATACTTAAAAAATGATTCAGAAGATATATTGAAAGACTTTTAAAGAATTGATTTTTTAGAATATATTTTGACCATCATCACAAAATTTATATAACTGGCCCAAACTTGCAGATGATGAAATAAGCAATTAAATGTTCTACTTTCCTATTTGTAAGCATTATGTGTCCAGTGACAAGGAGCCTATTAAAATAGCATAAAAAAAGAATGAACAAATGTTAATAATTGATTTATCAAATTTTTTTATTATTTCCTTCTACTTTGGGATATTTTTATTCTCATATTCATAACTAAACCTAAACATAAAAAAATGCTGGCCTTATAAAGAAGAAAGGGGCCTCTTTCAAAATAGATAATTTCAGGGCCGCTGGGTCAGGGGTACCAGGGGTTTACTTTGACTGAAAGTAAATTAATGCTATGAAATCTGCCCTTTCATAAGCAATGGTGCCTCCTTCAAAATTTGTGAATTTCATGGCTTTTGGATTAAAACACGAACCAAATACAATCGCTGGAAAGTTGTTACATGATACTCAGGTGACCTATAAGGCCCGTGGGCCTCTTGTTTCAAGGAACATTTGATAAGCGAAAAAAACTGTCATGTATACCGTGTATTACAAATACGTCATCGGTTGCAGGGAGTGGTGATATGGATTCAGAAAACCAAAGTGTTGAGATCACATCGTCACGTGATCGCGTAAAATCTACAGTAAATTGTGGTGATACTTACTGGCGACATCTCTCACTTATGCTCATTGACTTGGCAGAAGCAGAAATCAGTCAAGAATTGAAAAAAAGTAGCTGGTGGCAAAGTAAAAAAAAATACTGCCTTAGACTGCCTCCATATCAACATTACTAATCATGGCTAGGCTGTTCTTAAAAGAAAGAATTTTTAAAGATGTTTTTCCTATAAATTTCTACGAGAAATTCTTGTGGCTTTTTGTGACACTTCCCATCATAAATTGAACGTGTTCGAATCTACACTACCTGAGGATACTTTTGTTATAATAAGACAAATGTTTTGTTTTCCTTTTAAAAAAAAGATATTTAAAAACATTTCCTTATATTTCTATTTGAAACTCCGAACCCCTGTCCCTTTTATTACTCCGCCCTAACCCATGGTTTATGATATGAACTAATTTTAATCAAAAGATTAAACATCATTGAAGCTTTTGCATAAATTTATGCTTTTTCTGCCCAATTGTTTTGAGGAGATTTCCAAGCGATGCCGCCAAATTGTCACGAATTCTTAATTATTTCCCTTGCAAAAATGGGTTGAACTTCTTGTGAACAAACTTTAATCCCCTTAGCCAAGGATGTTTTTTGGCAAGTTTGTTTGTAATTGGCTCATAGCTTCTTGAGAAGAAGACGAATATGTGAAACGTTCACAGACAACAGACGCCAGGCACTCTTAGATCAGAAAAAACTCAATTGATCTTTCGGCTCAGGTGAGCTATTAAACATACATCTCACCTAGTGTTCCTGTGGTCGGTCCATTCAGGTAAAGTCTGTACTTGTCTGTCTCGTCGGTTATGTAGAACTCCTCGTACTGTTGATATAGAGTGGTTCCATTGTTCAGAGTTATAGACACGTACAGAGACGAACTGTTTTTGGTTAATAGATGAATGACGTCATTTCCTAAAAAAAATTATAGTAATATTGATTAAGTAAAAGCTATAGAGGAAAAAGGAATGACTGATTTATAAAAGACAGCCATTTACATACATATTTTATATGTAAAAAAAAGTTGAAACGATCAAATATATGTCTATACTGAATTTCATATATTCTTAAAATAGAGATACAATTTTCTTTTTAAAATGATTCAAAATGTATATACCCAACCAATAAGATGAATTAACAGAACCAAATCCCTCCTTGTACTCCTGCCAAGTTCTGTCAAAATCGGTTGATCCATCAACGCGCCTCTGTATAACCTAGAATTATGAAGAATTGTTTTTGAAATTAGTCTAACAAATCTTGATATCTTTTGTCAGTCATCTTTCAATGCTAATTGATTGAATAATAATTAAACTGACCGTCCATCCTCCACCCTTGGTGGTCATATCACACTGGACGTATACTGACCATTGGTTGTCACGGGGATATATAGTGTAAACATTAGACAAAGTATGACCATCAGTGAGCAATGTTTTACAATTCAGTGGACGTTTATTCCCTAAAATTATAAAAGAAATGGAGTTAAAGAAAACAGTCTTGAAATATAAATTTTTATGCATAGGAATATGTATCTTAGCCACTCCTTTCAATCTCGTGTGTCCTAATCAGGCCTTTTCCGGCTATTTATATAAGGTCATGTCAAATAATAAAATCTTCAAAAGATTATAATTAATTATTAGACATTCTCAATTTATTTCACTTTTAAATCTCTAGAGAATGATATTTTAAAAAATCTCCGTTTTCAGTAAAATTATTCTCTATTGTAAATTTTCTATAATCCTCATGCATACGGGCGGTGTATAGTCTGTAACTTTTATTTTCTTTTCCTTTCTTTTATCATATCTTATTTTCATTAAACGTTTCATATTATTCAGTAGCCGCAACAAATTATGTTTAGCGGAAGTCGTTATGTTCGTTACGTTTATTATATTTGAAATGAAATACCTTCAGATTCCAGATTGAAGGACCTCCATTTTATTGTATTTCCTAAAAATAATAAAAGAAAATGGGTTTAAGGGAGCAAGACGAAACTTATATTATTTACATAAATATGTATAGTAATTCACTCTTTACAATGTTCTTGATTCCCACCACTTCTGTGCCGTCTTTGAAAAGTATAGCAGTAAAACTTTAAAAGGTTTGAAAAAAGAATAAGCCATTCTAGATTTATTTAATTTGTTATCTCTGAAAACAAAATGGTTTATGAAATTTTCTTAATTGTGTAAAATAATTCTCTATTATCAATTTTCTATAGTCCTTATTTTCATTCTCTTTCTCTCACCATATCTAATTTTTATCATACCTTTCATATTATTTAGTAGCTGTAATAAATTATGTTTAGCAAAGGTCATTACGTTTGTTACGATTATTTATAACTGAAATGAAATACCCTCTGATTCCGGACTGAAGTACCTCCACCCTACTTGAACTTCTGTTAAATTACCCGGATGACATCCCGAATAAACTCGACATTTATTAACATGCAAATTGACGCCAAAATACGTACAGCCTGGTCCACACATGAATGCACAGTCGGTTACTGAATATGCGTCATACTCTGGCGACAGATTTTCTCTTATAACAACGTCGTTCTTTTTTAAGTGAGCAAAATACCGTTTCGACACTGATTCAGAAAGTCTAAATAAAACAACAAACAAGGTCCAGAACAAGCCCCTGTAATTGTAGCTATACATCATTTCTATTTCACTTCTTTTTGATTGTGATAGTTGATATCAATTTTACACTTATTTTTCTAATCGAATTCTTTCTCAATCCCTTTCTGATGGGATACGTATGTTACAGATAACGGAAAGAAGGTGTGTCGAATTTATTAAATGGCTTCAAATCACATGAGTAGTTATAGTTATATTGAATTCAACATTTTTTCATACATACATGTGTATACTTTGTTTTACAGTCTGAAATCACATAGTATTCTTATACGGGTATATGTTATTTGCAATGTTGACCAAAATTGCCTCTATGGTAGAAACTCTTAGAAATAGATCACGAGATCCAACTTAATTATTCTGTTTTGGGCCAGGAACCATGTTTTCTATACTGAAAGGAAAAATAAACGCATAGTAAACATTTGAATTAAATTAAAATTTTTATTTCAAACTTGTTTTCCATAATTGTTATCAAACATTTTACTTCATCTTTAATCAACAAGTTACTAATATTGCGTGTTACTTTGACTAAGTTTATGAGTTACTGAAATTGATTTGTCAATACCCCCAAGAATTAAAATAAAAATTCGCATTATCTTCCTTGAGCATCAGTATCATGTTTCATATTCCTGTGCATTGTGTTCATCAGAGCATTTATTATACTCCCCGCTTATAAGTGGATGGGTATAATGTAAGTAAGAGCATTTACTTATAGTGATATGTAAATAAATGACTGTAAGACTTCGATAAAAAAAAATTGCCAAATTGTTGCAGTTAAGTATTGTGTAATGTAGGCTTTTAACAAGGGTGGGTGAATTTCTTTATTTAAATAAAAAAAAAAGTTAATGATTCCACTTAAATTAAGTGCAAAATGTTGAACCTTCAGCATTATTTAACATATCTCTTGGACTTTATTTGTAAGTAAAGCTGTGACAAAAAAAAGAAAACTTTGTACAGTTGGTTTTCTTTGCTTGAACGACTTCTTTGTCTATCAGCTGTTTTTCAAATGTTTAATGTGTTCATTCTTTTAAAAGGGTGAGAAAAAGAACATAACAGCATTTAACCTATAATTTGTATATGTATCTGAAATAAATGTTTATTTATTCATGGATGAATGAGAATTGCTCTTAGAAGACAACGTTTTGGAAAATAATAGCTTTAGACGAGGAAAATTTAGAAATAACCACTGAACAGACAACTTAATCTTTATTTGAGGGGATGCAACAAATTGTCAATCTTTTAGGAACTGAGAAATTAATGACAGTTCTGTCAGTTTATAAGACGCGAAATATACGAGGGGTTATCAAAAAGTTCGTGAACTAGCGCCATAAAATTAAAACCGCTCAAGGAACATCAATGAATTTTTAAATATCTAGTAAGCATCATCTTGTCTATCTTAAGAATAAAACACAAATCATGAATTTTACTTTTTAATAAATTAGTAACGTTTTTGCAAGCAACGGTGTGTCCAAGCGGCGCAACATCGAAAAATCAATCAAAAATGATGTTGATCATGTGTTGTAGATATAGAACTCCCAAAAGCAAAATATGCCGGCACAATCAAGCACGGATCTCTCCCAATGTATTAATCCATCTGGAATATTATATTCATTGAAGGCCACTGTTAATGACATTGTAAAGTCATAAAAACGAGGCGGGTTTAAGTCCTTTCTCAGCTCGAGGGAATTTCATCAAAAATGTGTATGAGGTAGAAGATGACATTGAAAAAACAATGACGTTATCGGACGTCATGAAAATAAACGACGACAGCGCCGGGTGATCATATAATGTCGTTTTAATTTTATAATAATTCGTAAAATAATGAAGATATCAAGCTAAAATTTTCAACATTTCTCTGTTTTGTGTTGTTAAATGTTCCATATAAATTTTGAAAGGACAGACTACATAGTACTAATTTTATAGCCTCAGTCCACGAACCTTTTGATAACCCCTCGTACATACATTTATTTGTTGTAAGGTGTATAAGTAAGAACTATTTATCTTAAATGGGAAGCACCGTTTCAATCTATCAGGGACATTTTGTGAGAACCTTCTTGTCATTGATGATAAAACACCAATATGAATAATAAACAGTTCTTCGAACAAAAATTGTTTTTCTTAGCTTAAAATACACATTATTTAAAATTAATGTTCCGATATTTCAAATAGTTTTTGTACAAATTCTTTTGTCGCTGAGAAGATAAGCTGAATAAAATGAATTGTTAACATTGTCCCGGTGAGGTGAAATGATGATCAACAAAATAGCAGGTAAGCGTTTAATTATCCATGTAAAATCAATTATATGTGTTTGTAAGGGGAAAATTGCTTAATAAATAATTTATAAGATATTGCACTATTTTCTAGGAAATCAACCAAATTGTACTTCATTAACCATATTTTGCAATAATAATGAAGTTAAAAATAAATATAGCGAACAGTAATTAATCTAAAAGTCAATCAAATAAAAAAAAAATTTCAGGAGAATACGCCCGGGCCTCTAAATAATACCAGAGGTGAGATCAGGTGCCATGGAGGAGTAAGCATCTCCTGTCTATAGGCCACACACAAGAAAACAAATGTATATCTAACCTACACAGCTAATTGTACCACGTCAGTTTAAAGCTGAACACTACTCGTAAATAGGCATAGTCCGCCATATTTCTCGTTCTTCAAAGCTCTCCCTACAACTCGTATATAAGGAACAGATCGCTAGTCAGTTCAATTTATTTTACTATAGAGATCTGACGAGTGCAGACGTACATCTTACAAAGCGTGCTACTCAATATCGATGAAATTATCAAATTTTACGTATTTTTTTCCAAAACAGGACAAAAGTATCATGGAAAATAAAGGTTAATACATTAATTACAAACAGAAAATGCACATAAAAACAAGAAATAAACGCAAAAAATCTAAGACCACAATAGGAGTACTATATGTCGGCCACGAGTTTCGAGTATGCAATCGGTGTAACGAAAGCGAACGCTTTATATACCCGTCTGACAGTGCCTATTTATGAGAAGTGTTCAGCTTTAAAGTATGGTTGCACATAACATATGTTACATGTACCTGAATCGTACAAAGTACGTATAATATGCGTGTGACGACATACGTTTAACACAAGGTACGTGAAACGTATGTTTGGAATACATGTATGTTTACGTGCGTTTCACGTATGCTATGTGTAAGCATATGTTACACATACGTTCATAAATCTATGGTTCACGTGTGTATTGTCAACCACATGTTACACGTATGTTAATGAAAGCATGGTTTACATGTGTATAGTCAACCACATGTAACACGTACGTTAATGAACGTTTATAAAACATAAATTTATTGCATAGGTTACATGTATTTAGGAAACAGAGTAATCATGGTGATATGACCATCTATAAAATCTTATTACGGGTCCCTAGATCAGAAGATGCATGGATTTTAATCATTATAATACTTTAAAATCTAAACTATCTTTTTTTTAACATAAACAGTAATTTGATATTTGATTAAATCCAATCACAGATGTGTGCGTTGTTGACTTGTGAATGCCGTGCGTGTTTTGTGTCTTTAATGTTTCAATTTATTTTCACATTGTTTACCTTTCGTCTACCTTCATGTCAGTTCGCATTGGTTTAAAATTTACTCTAAAAACAGTAAAACAAAGTTAAAAATAAAAAGTTCTCCAATCCCTTCATGTGGATCGGATATCGACAGAGGCACATAAAATTAATTTTGGTCATTGGAAGATATAATCATTCTGAATTCAAGAGCAAAAGTAAATTAAGAAAAAATAATTCACGATAATTTCACAACAAATCGTAATTGGGAGTAAATGATTCACCAAAATAAATATCAAATATATTGTGGATAGCGTCCGTATAAAGTTTTTTTTTTTAAATTAAGTTAAAATTTATTTTTGCTCTTGAATTACCATACCATTTCAGTGATTGAAAATGTGTGAAATGTGTGAAACTTCAACCATAAGCTGGTATACTTGGGTATCAGTATTTCACGAAACACATCTTTTTTTCTAGTTCACCCACAAATCAATGCAATCTAAAATAAAATTTAGGCAGAGAATAACCAGGTACATTAAACAATATACAATCAATCATTAAACAGTACAAATCTTTGAACAAGGCATTTAACAGGGACCCTCGAAATTCCATTAATACATCTCTCTATCCCACCTCTGATGTTTCGGAGGTATGTGTTTCCTCTGCTCCTATTTTGTATTGTTTTAAGGACTTTGATATTGAATACTGCTCATTGTCTCCATATCCTTCGATAACATTTTAATGCATACATAATCAGATTTAATGAAGAAAAACGATCAATCACATAATTTAAAAAGACTCCTTCTAAGAATAGAATCAAATGCATTTCCATTCTTATACTGTAATCGTTTAAACTACAAATTAAAGCTGCTTTTCAACTCAGTATACATAATGTGATATTTAATCATAATGAATATAATAAAGATGTGTCTTTTTAAGATTTGACCTGAATAAGCGTACGTATATGTCAGAAATACAATGGACCCTGTTTGGTACACAACTTTAATTTCAAAATCGCATAAGAATTATCTAACTGTTATATTTGTAACATTGAGATCTCCACGTCATCGTTGGTTTTTAGAG